GCCTGACACAGGGCTCGAACTGACAAGCTGTGAGATCATGACCTGAGCTAAAGCTGGACGTCCAACTGACTGAGCCACCTAAGTGCCCCATTATTTTTAAATGAGATTTATAAAAGAATAAATATCTTTGGTAAAGTAATCAAAAAGAGTAAAGATTTTTCTTGTTGTAGTGGTGGTGGTGGTATCTGCTCAATATACATAACTGTGGAAGCCACAGAGAAAATTCTAGTTCTTGAGCTAGAGTATAACCACAAAAGCTTTCAAAAAATTTTTAGAGAAAGAAGAGTGATAAAGATTTCTTAATGGCTAACTAGGGATGTTAATTTTCTCAAATAAAACCAACCGTTGGCTGTGACTGACACTTAACTAGTCTAGAAGAGACTTTTGAAAGTGTTAAAATTTTGAAGACCTCATTAGATAGTTTTGTTGTTATTAGTGAACACATCTATCATCTCACATGTATCTCGTGTGTGTGTGAGAGAGAGAGAGGAAGGAAAAACAACCAGTGGGTCAGAGAAGAAATCAAAAGATAAATCACTTTTTTTGAACATCATCTGGAAGATTCAAGAAAAAGTAATGGCAAAAGTAATAAATCCTAAACATCAATTCAACTACACAGACAAGATTGCACAATCTTGAGGAACAGACATCAAGTCCATTTAGAATCTGTGTAGGCAGGACAAATTTAACAATTCGTTATTCATTGAACTACCAAAAGTAGTCACTTCTTCCCTTAAACTTCTACTTCTCCCTACTACAAATATTGAAGAAAGAGGTGGAGGAAAAATGATTGTTTACTCACTATGAGTAAAAGAAGTCAGAGGGAGAAGACAATTTTACTTACACTGTCTTAGAACCAGCTGGAGAGGGTAGGAGAGGACTTCTCAGAAATGTAAAACTGTTTTTTGCCAGAGTAGCTGAGACTTAATTTAGCCCAATCTTCTTTACCTTGGAGTCACTTCTAAATGTTGGATGGCTTGCATGGCACCAAAGCATGTGTGTGGGTTGCTCCAGTCTCTGATCATCTCATACCTGTGTTTGCATGTATTGAGTCATCCATCATCTGTCCTGCATTGATCAGCTTAGACCACTCTGGGTTTGGTATCTAAACTAGACATTTCTGTGTGATGATTGAAGGAAATGAAATGATTCAAATTCTCTCTGCCAATCTGGGTTATTAAAATTTCTGTGCCGAGATACTCTCCATGAAGCTAGAAAAAGAATGAGAAGTGTAGGAATTTTAGGCAGTTATTTCCTGACATCTACATTTTCAGGAATTTACTGCAGTTCTCCCTTCTCCAAACCTGGGAAAACCTTTACTGGCTTTGAGAGATGAGAGAGGAAACTAAATATTTCCCTCCTACAACCTCAGATATTTTGACTCAGTAAAAGAGCTTATGAGACTTTATTTTGGACACTGAAATCAGAAAAATTTGTGTGTGTGTGCATTCTCATATCATTCCTTTGAAGTGATAAAAATAGAGTTGATTTTCAAAAGGGAAAAGACTGAGAAGGAAAACAAGTGTTAATTTATATTTTAGAAATTTTAAGTATATATTTAAGTTACATATGTATTTATAGAATAAAATTACATATCATGATCTATATGTTTTATACACAGATTTATAGATGACGTAATGGATGTTACACATTTATAAATACCTATCCATCTATCTATCTATCTATCATCTATCTATCTATCTATCTATCTATCAAATACAACTGTATTATATGACTTGCATATCAACTTATTTCCCAGTTTTACCTATAACACCCATTCCAATATTTTCTATCTCTTATCTTTTTGGTGATGCCCATTCTAAAAAGCATGAAGTGATGTCTCATCGTAGTTTTAAATTGCATTTTTCTGATGACTATTATATTGAGATTTGATATATCTCTTGCCCTTTTGTATATCTTCTTTGAATAAATGTTTATTCAGGTCCTTTTTTTAATTAATTGGTTCATTTGTTTTGTTTTGTTTTGCTATTGAGTTATGTAAGGTTTTTAAAATATATTTTGGATATTATGGGGCGCCTGGGTGGCTTAGTCGGTTAAGCGTCCGACTTTCGCTTAGGTCATGATCTCGCAGTTCGTGGGTTCCAGCCCCGCGTCGGGCTCTGTGCTGACGGCCAGCTCAGAGCCTGGAGCCTGTTTCAGTCTGTGACTCCGTCTCTCTCTGACCCTCCCCTGCTCACGCTGTCTCTCTCTCTCTCTCCTAGATATAAATAAAACATTTAAAAAATATATATATATATATATTTTTTGGATATTAATCCTTTATCAGACACCTGGTTTGCAAATACATTTTCCCATGTCTAATGACCTGCTATTGTGGTCTGTTTCTCGGCAAGGCAACTGTTTGAGCTTTGAGGACAGAGATGGGGGTGGTGGTGGCTGAGAACAATTGGATAGGACTGGTGGGCTTGGTTCCATACCCAACTGAAACTACAGGTGGGGCTCCAATGTTGCCTGAATTCCCTGGTTGGGACTAGGTACTATATTCAGTAGTAAATAGGTCTATTAATAAGTTTCCCTTTTGTGGCTTGTACAGGATCCAGGGACCCAGGGCCTGTATAGCTCATTGTTTGGAAGCTGACTCAGGCAGAGTATATACTGAATTCCTTAGTCAAGTGAGGTCACTAGGTTTGCTCTGCAGATTGTGGAAACCATGGCTATGCTCTCTGTTTAAGTGTCGATGTATGATGTATGTGGAGCTGTTGAATGGGCTGTGAAGCTTCCTGTGTGCTCTGGTTAGGTCTGACAGTCTGAAGGCCGTATTTATTGGTAAGAGGGACTACAAATTAGATACCCTGACCTGGTACAGTGGGAGAAGAAGCTGTAAAGCCAGCGAAGTTTTTTGTTTGTTGTTTTGAATCAAGCCAACCTACACTGTAAGTTCCGTGACTGAACAGGGCCACTGGCTTTGCTCTGACTGAACAGGGCCCCTGGAAAGCCTGCCCACCTACCCCTAAGCTTGAGCAGCACCAGGACCCACTGCTTCCAGGGGCTGTCACCAGCCTTTCTGGTCAGATGGGGTGGAGAAGATAATCCACAGAAGGCAGTTTCTTGCTAAGGCATGGGCAAAGGCTCTAGGGTTGACAAAAATCCTCTTTGGAGGATCTTAATCAGATAGATCTTCACCCTACTGAGTTCTTGGTCCATCTGTGACCTGACTTGTTTCAACAGGTAAGCAAAGCCACTGGTTGGGATTCCTAGCTGGGCACTGCAGGTATGAACTCAGTCTGCCGAGATCCCTGTGCTGATTGTTGCAAGCTGCCCTCCTCTCCTGCCTCTGTCTTCATCACAGTCAGATGCAAAGTGGTTGACCCCTGTAGATTCCCCTGCAATCCTCATAGCACAAGATCTGAGTATGGGTTGCTACAAAGTGACCTACAATGCTGGGGAGAGTCTTGTTATCCCCTTGGGTTCTCTTTTTTTCCACTGGAGGACCCAGTCTCAGGAGAAAGCTCTTCACATGATGGGGTGCTGGCCTGAGGATGGTCAAAGTGGTCTGTTTGCAGCTGCTTTTCTTATACTTCTAATGCATTCAATTCTTGGTCTCTGTAGTGCAGGATGGTGCTTTAGCCTCACCCCATGTCTAGGACCTTCTCAGTGATGCCTTACTTTTGAATAGTTTATTCTTTTCGTGAGGGGGAATGAAGTCAGGAAAAACTTATGTTATCATCTTCCTGATATCACTCTAACATTTTTTTAATTCTATTGAAGTATAGTTAATACACAATGTACATTAGTGTCAGGGGTACAATATAGTAATTTGATAAGTCTATATGTTGTGCTATACTCACCCCAAGTGTAGCTACCATCTGTCATCATACATCAAATACCACTGACTATATTCCCTATGATATACCTTTTATTCCCATGAATTATTCACTCCATAACTGGAAGCCTGTGTCTCCCACTCCCCTTTACCCATCTTCCACCCTTCTTCTCTCTGGCAAACATAATATTGTTCTCTGTATTTATAAGTTTGTTTGTTTTGTGTTTTTAGATTCCACATATGAGTGAATTCCAGTAGTATTTGTTTCCCTCATTTCACTTAGCATTGTATGATTTAGATCCATCCATGTTGTCAAAAATGGCAAGATCTCATCTTTTATGTCTGAATAATAGTCCATTATGTGTGTGCGCACGTGTAAACATGTATATGTACATATACACACACTGTGCCTTCTCTATTGGTGGACACTTGGGTTACTTTCATATCTAGGTTTTTGTAAATAATGCTGCAGAAGTCATAGGGGTGCATATATCTTTCCAAATTAGTGTTTTCATTTTCTTTGGGTAAATACTCAGTAATGGAATTGTTGGATCATGATATATTTTGATTGTAAATTTCTGGGGTATATCTATACTATTTTCCATAAGTCTGTACCAGTTTACATTCCCACCAACAGTGCACAAGGGTTGTCATTCTCTACTTTTTAATGTAACAATATTTTATCATTTTCTATAAGAAATGAAGAAATTACTAATTCATAACATTTAACACTCAAAGAATAAAAATATTTTCTTTTATAAATACGCAGTTCTTCTAAATAAAAACTAGATTCTTAGTAAATGCTTGTTAAACCAATAAATTCTTGCATGATCGACTTTTGGTTGAGCTCCTATATTAATTTCATAAGCTTTGCTACTGGTAAAGTTATGTTTTAACATTTTCTCTTTTGAATCACTCTAAAATAATTGATGTACAATTGGAGTTGGGAACTTTCTTTATATTTCAATTTTCTTTTCATCTTATGATGAAGAGCAATCTAGATTATAATAGATTCTTTATTAAATTGTTGCTGTTACCTGTTTTTAAAACCTGCTTTGTTCCTGTTTTAATTTTTTCTAAGTTTTCATTAAAATCTTTTCATTAGTTATTTTTTAATAACTTGATTCAAATTAAAAAACAATTAGATTATATTTATAATCTCAAAAATTCAGAATTGTTAATGAAAGGCCAGTTGAGAAATAACCATATGACTTACCTTGCCCTGGACCTCTTTCTTGCTAATTGTTGAGAGTGGTGATGATGGTAACATGTGCCAAAATAATTGGTAAAAAATATGTAATAGAATTTAACTCCTCTTTTCCTGTGTTGTGTCATCAGGGGAATATAGAATATAATGGGACAGAGATATGTCAATGACTTAGAAGTTCAGGTGAAGTGGGAGACTACCTTAATAGAAGGAATGTATCATTTTAAATGCATCTCTGATAGAAAAATGTCAGCTCTCATATAAAAGACATTTAAAATGGCTCTCATCCTAATAGAAGACTGCAAACTGCTATGGTGCAAACAAGGGAAGGATGGCTATCTTGTGCTGTCAGGGAAGATTTCTTAGAACTAGGTTTTAAAAGATAAACAGTAATTCATCGTTTTTAAGTTTTTCAGAAAGAATTTGCACATGTAGAGATAAAATACACACAAAAATACATGGAATTATGGAAGCGCATAAAGTATTGGTTGATTCTAAATGGATGACATAGTGAAAGGGCATATGTGAAGAGAAAGTGGTAGTAAATCAATCCAGATAGTAGGCTGACTGCAGATTTTGAAGAACACTATGTTAAGTGCTAAAGTTTTAACATTTGATTCTAGTCATATTAAGAACTCAGAATTTGTTAAGCTTGTTCCTTCTAATTACAGTGAAAATAACATAGTTTTTCAAATAATAAATTTGAGATCCTGTGTGACTGCTTCTAACGTAACCCCTGGCAATGTTTTGAGCATAATTACTATTTAGATTACTATTCAGTAGTTTTCACAAGTGACAGAATTCATTTCAAAATAAGCCTTCAGGGTTGATCTTCAGCAAGTTGTACTGAGAGTTGTATCAGTGGGCTTCATTCTTTGCTTAACATCTATGTAAATCTATGGAAAGTCTTAAGGTTACAGAATATTAAGAGCTTACATCATTATCAGTAAGACTCTCCTTTATATTTAATGTTCTCATTCAGTATGTATATCTTTTCAGGAGGCAAAAGAAATAATCTTGCTATTTCCCTGCTGTGTGACCTGCAGAAAAACTTTTTGTAAGTTTTTAATTTGTACCAAATGTTAGATGAATGTATAAGAAACATGTGATCAGGCTGTAGTTTTACTACAGATACATTTAATTTACCTGTGTTTCATTATATATCCTAACCCTTTAGCATAGTTTCAGTTCCATGGTGTTGACTATTTTTACTCTTCTTAATAAGACATTGCATGTTGAACCACCTACAGGATTTAACCTCGAACTGTGGTGTTAACAGAGAAAAGAATTTTCATGGGATCCAAATGTCAATCATTTTCCAGTTTGCAAATTGAGTCCCAAAGATTGCAATGATAATGTCATTGTGACTTTTATCCATGCAAGTACCTATGCCATAGTCAATATGTAAATATCTAGTGCTGTTGTAGAATTGGACAAAGAGATTGCGTTAATGAAAATCTTCCTAGGACAGACAGCTGCTACACTTCCACTGCCTTCCCTATGGTGTTGAAATTCCTGAAAATAGCCTGTCAAAAATAAGACAAAGAGTTGGGAAAACTTTATGGCAAATTTAACTGCGAAATAACTGTTTTCTCCATCAAGAGAATTGCGATAAATGTTTTGCAGAATTTAAAAGTCATTCCAAAATTAGTTTCAAAGAATTGACTGCAAATGACAGTCCCCAAATGTGTTTTTTCCTTCTTTTACCCCTTGTCATTGCCAACTCAGAGCATTAAGAAAATCTAACACTGAAAGGACTACTCCTGTGAGATGTGAAAATAATTATATGTTCTGCCTGAACTGATAGGCAGAGAAACATTCCATCTCAGATTCTGCAAAGCATGTCAATTTCAAGTTTGCATGTTTTCTGTTTCTACTACCCACCAGCCGTAGAAGGAGTGATTGGAAAACAAAAGCATTATCCCTACAGCATGGGACCTTGAAAATTGGATAGATGACATACTTTTCCACTTTTAGTATAAAAAAATGGAAAGTGATGTTATTTCTTGCTGTAGGTTTTAGGGTAGGTAATAGAAACAGTTTTATAAATCTAAGCCTCAGTAATTTTGCTGTAACAAGTGGGTTTATTGCATTAAAGATAGGATATTAAAAATACATATTTATACAGTCAATATAATTTAGAAAAATCGTCTCTAGAGTGGAATTGCATGAAATGAACCTGGTTTTTCGTTGACTTCAATTTTTAAATCCAAGTTTATTTCCTATTTAAAAGAAATGCCCGATAGAATCAGTTAGAAGGATTTGAAAATAATTTTTTCTTTAAAATTTTTTTACATTTATTTATTTTTGAGAGACAGAAAGAGACAGAGCATGATCGGGGGGGTGGGCAGAGAGAGAAAGAGACACAGAATCTGAAACAGGCTCCAGGCTCTGAACTACCGGTAAGCACAGATCCTGACGCGGGGCTAAAACCCACAAACCATGAGATCCTGACTGGAGTTAAAGTCAGATGCTCAACTGACTGAGCCACCCAGGGGCCCTTCAAATTTTTTTTTTTTTTTTAAGATTGATGCTGTCATACTAGTAGTGATTTTGTAAATTTCCCTTTAATTCACAGCATTACAATACCTATTCTCTGCTTGACAGTTCCCAGGTCCCACCATGACTTTTTCTCTATGTAAAATATGTAAATGATTTACCCTTTTTTGCCATCCAGAAATCAACTCTTATTCTCATACTTTATTTTTTTCTTTGTCTTGCACAATGTAACCCTTAAATTAAAAAAAAAAATAAAGCAAGTGTTAGCAAAAACAGATAAACCAAAACCTTTGTATTTTCCCATGGAGTGAGAATACACTGATGAATGTGATTTTTTAAAATAACATATCTGATTATAGCAGGAATATATTTTATAGGGAAAAAAGGAAAATTCAGAAAGGCATTAAAACTTTCTATAATAATGTCTTTTTAAAATATTTTTATACATTTTAAGTCTTTTTTTTTAAGCTGATCTCTACAATGTATTATTAGATAAGACTTTATATGTAACATTTTCCCCCACTGGTGACTATTTAGCTTTCTTTGTTATAAACTAGATACAAATGCATGAATCCCTATTACTAAAACATGAAAGACTAGTAATTGCTTTTACAATTTACAAATATTTTCATATTTAGTTTGTTTTACAAATTATTATTAACATGAAGGAAATACAGATAACTCTGGATTTCATGTTAATATTAGAAACAAATGAACAAAACAAAAATTAGAAATAGAAAAAATAGAAACAATAAAAAATAAAGAACCTAAGTCTCTGTTTCAATAACTGTGAGAATTACAGTGCTTTTCTTAAAATATTTGTTTATGCTTGAGGAGTTACACTGGCATATTTTCTCACACTCTAGTTTCTTTTTACTTCTAGCCTCTCAATGTCATTAATATCATGCCCTCAGTGACTGACATTTCCCCTCCTAATGTATCCTGTAATTTGAGAAATTTGTCCCATTCTTCAGATCATTACTATCAGGAGATTCTTCTGTTTGAGTAATTTTTGTTAAAGAAGGGAAATAAAGAAAATTACATATGGCAGAGCAAATTATTTAAACTTGAACATCATATACTGCCACAATAAAATTCTTAAGAACTCCCACAACATGGATTTCCCCACTTGTCAACAGTTTTTTACAGACTCCCTAGCATCCGCACTGGGACTGAATATTATTACCTCCCCACCCTCACCTCTGCTTTCCAGCCGTTTACTCTTCCACTCATAGTTTCCACTTTTTTTTTTTTATTACTAACTACATTATTTCAAGCCCTGCGTCAGGCTCTGTGCTGACTGCCAGCTCAGAGCCTGGAGCCTGTTTCAGTCTGTGACTCCCTCTCTCTCTGACCCTCCCTTTCTCGCGCTGTCTCTCTCTCTCCTAGAAATAAATAAAACATTAGAAAAAAATTTTTAAAAAAAGAAGTCTACTTTGCTCTTTGACTGTAGCAGATGTGAATAGGGACAGACACTCTAAAAGCTGGCATTCATAGAATCAGAATAGTACTCAAGAGTGTAAATGTTAGCATCATACAGTATTGCCACACAGCATCACTGATGCTGAAAATGAAAGGTCATTTATGATAACTTTCATGCCTACTTATACTAAATTGCATCCAGGAGTTGAAGATGCTCAACTGAGACTGAGTACTGGGGGTACTATGGTTTCCAGGTGAGTATAATGTACTCAGATTGCATCCATGCCACATGTAATCAGTGACAATGACACTTGTGTGGACTTAACTTACACTGACTCCTGAGTAGGTGCCAATGTAACCAGTAAGGTCTAAAAGCTGAAGAGACTCAAGAGAATGACTGAGCTGAAATAATCCATACCTACTCAGCATTGTATGTTGTGACTACACATTTCCTCAGTATACCAATAAAGCATTTTATAAAAGTTTGCTATTATCATTTAGGCAAAAGTAATTTCCCCATCTTCCTTTTTTATCCAAAGCATCTCTTGTCAAACTTTTATAAATATTTTTGTTAAAAATACTTATATAGTTCTTATGATACTCAAGAAACTTTTCAAGTACTTTACAAATATTAACACTTATTGAATACTCATTGAAACCCTGATAAACAGACATTCTTTTTTTTTTTATTTTTTTTTTTTTTATTTCTAGGAGAGAGAGAGACAGTGCGAGCAGGGGTGGGTCAGAGAGAGAGGGAGACACAGAATCTGAAGCAGGCTCCAGGCTCTGAGCTGGCAGTCAGCACAGAGCCTGACGCAGGGCTCGAACCCACGTACCGTGAGATCATGACCTAAGCAAAAGTTGGATGCTTAACCAACTAAGCCACCCAGGCGCCCCTAAACAGGCATTCTTATCATCCCCATTTTAGAGTTCAGAAAACTAGGGTATGTGAAAAAGCAAAATTCAACTGAGTAAATTTTAAAGATCTTATTGACTTTACTTAAAAATTCATGAATTGGGCAGCATCCAATCTAGCAGATAGATAGAAGCTCCAAAAAACTGTACAAAATGAAAGACTTTTACAGGCAAGAAGGAGTAGGACGAGGCCAAAAAATAATAATAATAAAAAGCTTGTTGGTTAT